CAAGGTCAGGTTGGACGGGGCTCTGAGCAACCTGCTCTAGTTGAAGATGTCCCTGCCCACGGCCGGGGGTTGGACTAGATGGCCTTTAATCGTCCCTTCCCACCCAAACCATTCTGTGATTCTATGAAAACCAGCATTACCAGCTTTGTTATCTCCTACAACTGAGGTGTCCAGGGGGGTGTTACACATTTTGGCTCCCCAATGACCCACCTCCATGCTCAGCGTTGAAAACCTCTGCTCCAAAATAAGTGAAATATCTGTGCTTAACGCAGTGCAACGGGGAAAGAGCCTGTCTTTCGGCAGCACGCAGGCATTTCTGCTAACGCTTGCGTCACTGGTGCTAAGGCGAACGCAGTTCCTGAAATCATTTTAGCAATATTAGTGCAGGCAATCGATGCTGCAGGCACGAGAGCTCATCCACCAAAATCAGAAACCCTGAGCAGATGCCAGCAAGCTAGCCATGACCACAGATCCGAGTTCATCCCCCCTGACTTTGGCACGTTTGCAAGAAGGAATGATGCCAACACAAATATAAGGAAGGGGGAAAAAAGCAAACTCTTGAAAAATTTAGAGATTGGAAAACTAAAAGCGCTGCATCATCTGCTCTGGGTGAGAAGGGCTCGCTGGGGTTTCAGACAAGCTTACCGGGGTTTAAACCTTCTTCTTCTAGGTTTAACTTGCTCTCACCAAAACACTGAGTTTCCATAAGTGGTGTTGCTCTGACAGGTCCTGATCTTTCCTCTCAACAACTGAATTAAAAGAAAAAGTGAGTGGGGATATGGCAGGTAAAGTTGATCGTCCCACGGGATCCACTGCGGGACCGTGGCTTGGCAAGAGCGACCATATGCCCTAGAGAGGTGAACTAAGGACAACATTGCAGCCTTAGCTGAAATCCTTGGCTTGAGTTAAGCCCTTGATATAATACACTCAATGTTTCTTTTTATTGTAAAAGTAGTTTATTTTACGGCAAAACTTGCCAGGGCTGACAAGCCAAAAAATGTCATTTGGTCTAAAAATAATGGGGATGACTCGGTTCAAAAGCCCTGTTGGGTCAGGGCAAGACCAGGGGACAACGTCCCCCGCCGAGGGCAAGGGTTGGGCTGCCGGTGAAAGGCAAGTCCTGCCTGCCGCTGCCCGCGCTCGGGGCCCTTTCGCCAGAAACCTGATTTCTAAACACTGGCTTCTTGTAAAAATGTTAATATTCTGCCGGCTTAGGAAAGCAAACAGAGGCAGACGAAGGACGGCGGGATGGTAATGAAAACAAGCTAATTAGTTCAGCCCGGGGGTCGGGGGGGAGCAGTTTCCAGGCTTAATATGAGGGCTCTCCAATGCAGACCTCTGCTAAACCGATTGCTCCTCTGCTGTCAAAAGCCACCAAAAAAATATATTAAGGGACAGTATAAAATGCTGCTGGTGCCCCCACCAGCGCTGCTCGCTCACTGGGGCTCCTCGGGAGACGTTTGACCATGGCAGGAGCAAGACTTAAGCATTGCATTAACACAAAGAGCGTTGGCCTCCTGCCCTCCTCTGGATGCACGTGGATGAAGCCTCATCCCAAAGAGACATCACAGCATGGTGCAGACCCACTGCTCTGAAGAAACTCCGTGTCACCCAAAACACAGTGGTTTTTTTCAACAACTATGGATATTATCATTGCAACCAGGAGCTTCATGCTTGGGCTTGCGTGCAGCTGGTGCACAAGTCCGTGGTCCTTCAGCAGCAGTGCCGATGAGCAAAGCTGTGATGTGCACCATGCTTAGCAGCAAAGCAAGCGCCTGCGATGCAGACTGCAGCTCCCCGGCTCCAGCAAAACCAGGGCTAAACTCAAGCCACTGGTGAGGCCAAAGGTTTGGAGCTTCTCAAAGGTGATTCTCCATATCCACGTTGTTCTTGCTCCCCTGGTTCCTACCCCACTGATCTAGATACGGCACAAATCCCTGGCCCTTGTTGTTACCAGCACCCCAATGCAACACTGCCTCTGCTCACCGGAGACTAATTAGTCTGAAAGAGACTAATCAGAAGAAAAACAAAAGGAGAGGGGGGATGGATAAGAAGCACAAGAGCTGAAGTGACCTGCCCACGGCCAGGCAGGTGAAACCACCTCTGATTTCCAACCCTATACTGTCTCCTCTTCCTTCGGTCCTGCAACGTGCCATACTGGAGCGTCTACCTGAAGAAGATGCTGCTTTTTGGGATGCTAACGAATATCCTAGCAGAGACCAGAGCCTTGACACAGAGGATGAAGCACCAGCCAACATCAATATTCCAACACAACCTTGGGGATCGTGACACGAATGCAATTTCCATATTAACAAAAAATAACAAAAAAGAAAAAAAGATGTGAATTATTGAGGCTTAATGCTTCTGCTCTCCTAAGAATGCCAAGATTTCCAATAGCTTCCCAAAGACGGCCATCACTACCTCTAGCACACACAAATAGCCTGAGTGATTTGCACTGACAGCACAGAAGACGGAGCTGGCCACCGAATACTTGATTCTAATAGAACTGCCTATTTCTAAAATGTACTTCCCACATTTTGGATGAATTTGACCCAAAAAACCGCTTACAAAATAACATTAACATCTATTGGAGAGAGACACAATTAATTGGCTGTTTTTAAGAAAACGACAATGTTGGAAAAGTCCCTCATATTACAGCCATTTATCATCAAAATATAACCCATCT